GTGAAGCCCCTAACTGACATGAGAATCCTCCATGTGCGGACCAACTGCTGCGTGTGCTTGGGCCTTCTCTTTGCCGCTTCCCTCTTTTGTGATTGAGTCTCCACCCTATCCTGACCTCCATCCTGCATCTCATTGATCAACTGTGGGAAAAAAAAAATTTTTTTTTTTTTTTGAGACCAGAGTCTTACTTTGTCACCCTTGGTAGAGTGCTATGGTGTCATAGGTCACAGCAACTTCAAACTCTTGGGCTCAAGAGATCTTCTTGCCTCAGCCTCCTGCGTAGCTGGGACTACAGGCACCATCACAATGCCCAGCTTTTTTTTAGAGATGGGGGAGGATATCTCACTCGTGCTCAGGTTGATCTCGAACTTGTAAGCTCAATGGATCTGTCCACCTCAGCCTCCCAGAGTACTAAAATTACAGGCATGAGCCACAGCCCTGGGCCCACAATTTCTTAGACTTTTTAACCATCTATGTTGTAGAGTACTAAAGAAAATGGATAACTGCATCCAACTAACAAGAAGAGATATATAGAATTTAATGCTTGGCAAGTGCTGGATACATACTCGTAGTGCTGGATACATACTCGACTGTTTTTAATTATACTGTGTTTTTTTTCTGTCAGCCCCTCTTAGAGCTCTCCCAAGTATCAAAATAGCTTTTATGCACAAAGTTTCCAACAAAAGTACTTAACAGATACTTTATTCTTTCTTTTAAGATATCTAGGACCCAAACATCAGTCTTCACTTTGTTGCAGACTACAGAGAAAAACTAGGCTAATTTTTACCCCTAAAACCTGGATGGCTACATCACAAATAAGATATTTATTTTGTTAAAGAAAGACCTTGGATTTTGCTTCAAGGGTTTACAATATAAGATGGACAAATGAAAAGCAACAGCTTAAAAAGTGAAAGTAGATGGTAACAAAACTAGAAAAGACAAGATTTGCCAAGTCTCTGCATTGTTTCCATTTATGACATGTTCTCCTTAGGGATAGGAAAAGTAAGAAATATAAAGTATTGTTTAACAATAACCACTTTTGAAAAGATGATACAAAAATGAAAAATCTTCTGAAAAGGTAGCCACAGCAAAATGAATGCTGATGAGTCTGGGTGGTATTAACAAGGTTTCTTTTTTTCTGCTTATGTAAATGTCCTATTTTTATTTACTTATTTTTTTGAGACAAAGTCTGACTATGTCACCTTTCATAGAATGCTGTGGCATTACAGCTCACAACAACCTCAAACTCTTGGGCTTAACCCGTGGTTCTCAACCTTCCTAATGTTGCGATATTACAAAGGGGTCATGACCCATAGGTTGAGAACCACTGGCTTAAGCAATTCTCTTGCCCCAGCTTCCTAAGTAGCTGGGACTACAGGCGCCCCCGCCACAGCACCTGGCTATTGTTTTTGTTGTATTTGTCATTGTTTGGGAGGCCCCAGCTGGGTTTGAACCTGCCAATCCCACTGTATGTGGCTGGCGCCCTAGCTGCTGAGCTACAGGCTCCGAGCCTTAAGGCCTGAACTTTTGATAATACCTTGACATTTTCAAAGCTAATATTTTTCATTTTAAGTATAGTTAGCCTTCCATATCCATGGGCTCCACATTCATGGATTCAACCAACCATGAATCAAAAACATTTTTTAAAAAATAAGATGGTTGTATCTGTACTGAATATGTTCCAAACTGACTATGTTGTATCTGTACTGAGTATGTTCTGTACTAAATATGATTCTAGTTATTATGTCTCTAAACCAGTGGTTCTCAACCTTCCTAATGTCGCAATGTATTTTCATTATTAAAAAGGGGTCGCAACCCACAACTTGAGAGCCACTACAAAACAATATAGTATCACAAATATTTACATAGCATTTACATTGTATTATGTATTGTATGTATATGGAAGGATATGCATAGGTTATGTACAAATATTGTATTTTATATAAGGGACTTGAACATTTATGGATTTTGATTAACTATGGGGTGAAGAGACTTGAACATTTATGGATTTTGATAACTATAGGGTGTCCTGGACCAATCCCTCCATGGTGTCCTAGATACCTGGGAACAACTAACTATATATCTACTACTTCCTAAAATATTAAATCTTCTAGATAATTTTGCTCACTCTTAAAAAGTCTGCATACTCCATATGTTTTGGCCCACAGAAAAGAACTCTGGCTAGAATATAGAAGCATAGGCTCCCAGTACAGCTCTGTTACCCCGACTAAGCCATTTAACTTCTCTGGGTATAAGATCCTCATCTATAAAATGCAGATCACTGAAGCCCTTTCCATTGTGAGCTGAAGCCTTCACCAAGTGATACTGGAAGACTGTTTCCCTGAAAACAAAGGGGTAAGGGAGGAATGATACATAAGAAACTGAACACATAAAGTTTTCCCATTGTTTTAATTAATAACACAAAATCTGTCAATCATGTCTCATTTTAACAGACGTAAATATGAATTTTATATGAGAAAATCCATTATAAAACATTCCAATATCCTTCCAATATTTCCAGCAGTTGAATATCATTATTTTCTATATTTCTAAAAAGCAAAGCGTGCGGACTGGGGTTAACTTGAACAGAAATAACTGTTACTATCCAGTTTTTGTGCAGAGAAGTTTGCAGAGTTCCAATTTGACCAAGCTATTGATGTTGAACATGAAAATTCTTTCCTTCCCACCTAAGTTGCCAGTCCTTACCCTAAAACCAGAGGGTTTGAGCTCACCCAGAGGTTTAGTGTTTGGCCTGGGCCTGCACAACATAGAATTATAAAGAAGACATCATAACTTCCTAAATTTTGTGCATGAAGTAAACAAGCATATCCAATATTAACAAGAAAAAAAGCTCAGTATTTGAAATTAGTCTTGTCCAAATCAGGCATTTTCAAACCTGAAAAAAAAAGAAAAAAGAAAAAGGTCAGCAAATGTACTTCAATTAAATAACAGATCTCATCACCAAATTTGTCTAACTTCTGCTGTATAGGTCAGTTTTTTGGGGGAGGGGGACAGAGTCTCACTATGACACCCTGACTAGAGCACCATGACATTATAGCTGACAGCAACCTCAAGTTCTTGGGCTCAAGCAATCCTCTTGCCTCAGTTTTTCTGTTTTTAGTAGAGACAAGGTCTTGGTATTGCTCAGGTTGGTCTTGAACTCCTGAGCTCAAGCAATCCAACCCCTTTGGCCTGCCAGACTACTAGCATTACAGGCATGAGCTACCACGTCTGGCCTTAGATCACCTTTTTAAAAGAAGTAGCTGCAGACAATTCTCCAAAGAGAATTACAAAAGAGTCTATGTCCCATTAGTGCTCCTAAAACCTTAGAGGAAAAAAATGCTGATA